CCCCCCCCCCTCTCTTTCCGACTCTTCCCTGTGTTTTCTCTTCCCCTCACTCCTGCGGGAATGCGCGGGCTGATATCCTCACATTTCACGAATATCGCACACCGAAATGTTTGGTTCACTCAACAGGTGCACCGTGCTGTGGCATATTTTCCATCATCGGCTTCCTCTTTTTGATCATCTTGGGGATAATTGTTGACAAACAGCCTATCTTCGTGCATGGGGTAACTGAACCGCACAGATCAGCCGTGGCCTGTTACGGAGGCGGTACGTGACGCGAGATGGTCTACAAGTTGAGGGATAGATGAGAAGGCAAAGAGCCAGGGAATGACACGGTCTTTGCAGGCTTTGGGGGATCGCGGGGGCAGAGCCTTCAAGGAAGAGAGAAGAGATGCAGGCGGGACGTGGATTGCAGGACGCCACAACGATTATGTTCTGGTCTCACCCCTTTTCTTTTTTCTCTCTAACGATTGGCACAGCGGGTATTTACGCGGGCACCCTTGCTCTATGTGTGGTTGCATGGATGTATGACAAGAAAAAGAAGGAGCACCGGGCCGCGACGGCAGGTTTACTGAAGGAGGAGGAGCACGTCTCTCTCAACATCCAGCGACCAGGATCATACGGTGCGACCACTCGCTAGCCCCACTTGACTAATAATGTAGGCGTCCTTATGAATATTCCCCCTTCGAAGCCTTTGTGTGAAGGAGAGGGACCGCGTGCTTTGAATGTCTTTCTTCTTTTGTCGAGCGTTTGTGTAATTTCGTCTAGCCGGGTGTTTGGAGCCATGGGTAGGAGAGGAATGCGATGCATTGCGTGTAGGGGGGTGGCGAACGTCTGTATCGTGCCTCTTGCTTCCTGTACCCCCCCCCAAGTCTGGGAGGAGTGTGCGTGGTTGTGGACACGTGAGGAGGAGCTGAAAAAGTGCAGGAACATGCGGAGGAGCGGGTGCCTGGGGGAGATAGATCGAGGAAGAAAGAAAGAGGCTGGGATCCAGACACCCTTTGAACGACCGCCACACCGCTTGTTCCCCGGGGCATGTCGATGGGCGTCGCCTCTGAACACCTTCCCAGACCCTCGTTTTCTCCTCCTGTTGCGTTCCCAAGATGGGAAGGAGAAAGGGATGATCCCTCCCTGGCGTTCGTGTTGGTTTCCTCTTGCTTCCCCCGCCCCTTCCTTGTCTGTTCCTGTGCGTGCGTACTCCATTTCACTCCACCCTTTGATGATGAGAAAACAAGACCTTTCCTTTCAAGGGGTAACGGCCTGTGTCAGGACGTCAGCCTTTCCCATGCCAGCCTTTCCTTCCAAATGGCGCTTTCAAACTCTCTCACGTCTCCCTCTTCCTTTTTTTGGTACCCCTTGCCTACAGACGTGGGCACAGAGATGACGCGCGTTCCAGCTTGAGGACTCGAGGCTTGAACGACAAAGGAGGAGAGGAACAGATGGAGATGTGTACTGAAAGGGGCGTCGCGTGTGGGGGAGGGAAGGAGAGGAACCAAATGCAGAAAATAAACAGGCGAGGAGATCAAAAAGGTGCAGGTAGGAAGAGACTGCTTCGGCATTTTGACGGAGCCTATGTGTGAAAAGCGGATGTTTAGATTGAGGAAAGCATAGAGTGCATAAGACAATTATTGATGGGGGAAGATGCAGGATAAACTGAATATTGGAAGGAAAAGTGGTGGAGAAGAGCCGCTGGTGGAACACCTGGAGAGAGTCTAGGCACGCGGAGTTGCAATCGACCGTCGCTCTATTTTGAGGCAAGCGAGACAAATGTCAAAGGTTTACTGTTCTGTGGAATCGCATATTTCCTTCGGCTGCGCTTTTGTCCCCCTCCGCCTTGTTACCGCGGTGCCTGTCGCCTTCATCGAAAGCCGTCCATGAATAGCCCTCCTGTCTGCGTCTCGCTCCTTAAATTGCTCCCCTCTTTTCCCAAAACGGAGCCCCGTGCACACCTTTCTCGATCCGATCCGTCCACTTCACCAGCCTGCTTGTCCCCGAGTGTCCCTCCTCCCTCCACATTCACAACCAAGCACGCGGGCGACACGTCGCTGGTCCCCTGCACATCGGCACTGACACTCACCTTCCACACAATCTTCCCCTCCCCGCCTCCCCCGTGTAGAGAATCGCAGCCCTGGGCCTGCTAATCCCCACTCCCGTCACACCCCATTTCCAAAATTCTTACCCTCGCCCCCCCCTCAACAGCGCGCAATGTAACAGCCTGGTCCGAGGACTGCTACGCCCTGGGATCCCCCCTACGTGCCCTGCTTATTGCATGCCCCCACGTCCGTCCGGCGGTCCCGGTGATTTTTCTGTCAATTTGATCATGTCATCGATCCTCAAAATGGTTATTGCTGCCTCGGTAGCGAAGCGCAGGCTTTTGATCTTGCTGATGGCGGGCTCCACCACCCCTGCGGCCAGATTGTTCCGCACCAGGCCCTTGTACAGGTCCAGGCCTGCGTACCACATCCCCTCTTCCGCGCCCCCCCCCGCTTTCTTGGAAATTTCCCCTCCTCCATCCTCAACCATGGCCGCGCCCCCTCCCGCCCGCTCGGGCGGGACCTGTGACGGCTGCGACGAGGGCTGTTGCTGCTGCTGCTGGGCCCCAAAATGTGCCGCCCGTAAGTTTGCCACCAGCTCGGTGGCATCCTGGGCCGCATTGACGGCCAAGGTCCTAGGAATGACCAAAAGCGCGTCTGAAAAGGCGGCGATGGCTAATTGCTCCTTGCTTCCCAAAGTCATGGCGTATTTCTCCAAGTGCACGGATAAAGCGGCCTCGACCGCGCCCCCTCCCGCCACCAAAGAATTGCTTTCCAGCATGCGTTTGATCACCATCAAGGCGTCATGCAAGGCCCGGTCCATTTCGTCGAGCATGTAGTCGTTTGCCCCCCGGAGGACAACTGTGGCCGCTTTTCCTTCCTTGGCCCCTAAAATGTAAAGCATCTCCCCGTCCCCTACCCGACGCTCCTCCACCCTCTCCGCCAGGCCTAGCATGCTTGGGTCGAAGGCCTCGTTCCCCTCCATGTCCGCCAAGGTACCGATCACCTGGCCCCCTGTCGCCCGCGCGATCCGTTTCAAGTCTTCTTTCTTGACCCGGCGCACCGCCATCGCCCCCGCCTCGACGAAGTATTTCATGGCCAGGTCATCGATACCCTTGGTCGTCAGCACGACGTTGGCCCCGGCTTCCAAAATCTTCTGGATCCGTTCTTTGGTTATGTCCATTTCTCTCTGCCGGATGAGTTCCACTTCCTTGACGTCCTCCACTACGACGGACACCCCCATCTGCATTTTATGACGCTGCAGGCTAAAATCCAACAGGGCAATTTTCGCCGGAGAGACGGACGTGGGCATGCCTTGCGCGGCTCGAGCCCCGGCCAGCGCGAAGCCATTCACCAGGTGGGAAGAAAGGGAGGATTGGCCGTGGCACTTGAGGATGTGGATGGCAGAGACGGGGTACTTACTGACCGTCTTCCCCGAATCCCTGTGCTGGCTGTCTGCTTTCACGGACAAGACAGCTTCCACGGCCAGCTTGGCGAAGAAGTCCGCTTCTGCTCCCAAGATCTTGCTGCTCATGGACGTGCGCGCCGCGTTGAGCAGGTTTTCTTGCCGAAGCTATGAAACCGAGTGGGAAGAAGGGAGGGGTGCATAATTAGAATCGCGACGAATGCTCGACATGATCTGGTAGAATGGAAATACAAAAGAATCTGTGCAAAGGATGTGAGCTCTTTCGTAGGGGTTACGTATGGTGGTCCCTGTTTGTTGGCGCGGGGCTCGTAAGAGACATCCTAGGGACTAGTCTCCCTCTCCTAGCCCCCAGTCTTACCTGGTCCACGGAAACCACCAATTTATCTTTAATGAATCTTACAGCCTCCTTTAGCGCCAACCTATATCCGCTCATGATACTCGTGGGATGGACCTTGTTCATGACCAGCTCGTTCCCACGCTTCAAGAGTTCGGCCGCTACAATCACGACGGAGGTGGTCCCGTCCCCCACTTCTTGGTCTTGCAGGTGTGCCAACTCGACAAGAACCTTCGCTGCAGGATGCTCCACCTCCAATTGTTGCAGGATGGTAGCGCCGTCATTCGTGATGGTGACATCCCCTATGTCATCGACGAGCATTTTGTCGAGCCCGACTGGTCCCAAGGAAGATTTCACGATGTTGGCAATAGCCATAGAAGCTGTTACATTAGCTGTACGTACATCTTGTCCAGAGGTACGCTGCCCATCCAGGAGCATTTGCCCCGCTGAGGCTGCCATGATATAATATTGCGTCCTAGTAATGCAACCAAAAAAGTGAAAAGGAGGGAGGAAGGTGAGAAATTTTATGAGAGATAAAAAAATGAGTTATCTTTCGACTTGCTTTCCAAGCTATGCCGGCAAGCGACGTCACCTACTTTGTCAAAGGGCAACGTAGTCGGTGCATGCGCAGATAGTGTACCATGGGATTTTAGAAAGGGGGGGAGGGAAAGCATAAGGAATGGGTGAATGGCCCCGTTCCATAGAACAATAGGCGAGGGCGAGAAATCGATGATGAGAAGGTTTTTCGAAAAGCGCCTCCATTGAAAAATTTTCCCATTCCATCGAGCAGGTTGACACCACTCTCGTCACCACGTCTTGAGTCTACTGCTCTACAGTCCATGCGAAGACACGAGGCGGCGGGAGACAGGCACAGCTTACGCAATTTGCGGCCTGTTTAAACATTGCCTCCGCTGTGATGGGCTGGGAGGGGCGGCCGAGATGATGAGTAGGGAAGATACCGGGCGAGCGCGAGCGAGGCGTACTTGCCCCGCGAAAACCACATGTCCGCGGTTGTAAATCGCCCGCCATGACATCACGTGGAAGCGACGACGGCGGGTTTTATGCACCTGGGAACGGATTGATCGGATGGACTTTGACGTGGTGGAAGGACGCCGTGTTACGGAGGAGATTGTGGAGGAGGAGGGATCCGGGCTTGGGTGAGGCGTGCGGGTGAAGAATGATGGCGGGCGCGCCAGGGCCTTTGCCATGACCGTCGTCCCATTCCCTTTGTCCGAAATGAACGCGGTCGGTCGTCATGGGGTGGTGCAGCCTCTGAAGGAGGGATCATGTGGTTGAGGGCTGTCCCGTCGTCTTTTAACAGGATTCGTGTAGTGCGCTGGCATGCGAGCATCTCCCTGTTGAGCATGGCGAGGAAACCTCAATAACGACTAAAAGCGGATGGGAGAGGACACGACCATGCAGCTAACTTTCCCGCATTACAAGATCCAGAAAAAACTGATACAAGTCTTTTAGCGACTATTATTAGGAAAAAGAATGCTAGTCAGAGTGATTGAGCTCCACGTGGTCGTAGACTATCTTCATGCCTTTACTAATCGTCGCTTTTTCAACGCCCCTCACAACACACTGCTAGCTACCATCATATCGGCGTGACCTTGGAAAGAGATGCGTTTTGGAAAAAGGAGATAGTCTGAGCCTGCTACAGTAGCAGCAGTTGCGGCAGCAAGTGTAAAAACATCCGGGTGGACGTTTGTCGAGAAGCGTGTGCATAATTCAGCGCTGCAATTGCTACAAATTGACGTGGAAACTTCCTTTCTCTTGTGCTGAGTGTCCAAGCTGCCTTGGAGAGTCCACCGAATCTTATATAAGCAAAAGAAGGCCAGAAAGGTGGGGCAGGCTCTTTTAGAGGCGGGGGGAAACATCCTTTGTAAAAGGGAAGGAAAGGAGGCAGTGTAAAAACCGCCCATCTGAAGTCCGTAGCTCAAGCGGCAAGGTGTGGAACGCAGTTGTGACAGAAAGCGTTGCCGCGTCTAGGGAAGAGAAAAATGGCAGATAATCCCTTGCAAGTTGGGCATTACCGCCTGCTCAAGACCCTGGGTATCGGAGCTTTTGGAAAAGTCAAGCTCGGCAAGCACATCATCACAGGGCACCTGGTAAGCTATGTTTGCTCCCTCCAAATCCCTTCCATGCCTAAATTTCTGGTCTCATTTTATCCTTGTCTGCTCGTTCGTATTCAATAACCGCTCTTAATTACCCCTAAACGTCCCCTTATTTTGTTCCCGTCCATGTCTCTCGATCGCTACAGGTGGCTATCAAGATCTTGAATCGCAATCGCATCAAGCAGCTGGACATGGGGGAGAAAGTGCGCCGGGAGATCAATATCCTAAAGATGTGTACACACCCGCACATCATTCGTCTGTACGAAGTTATCGACACGCCCACGGATATCTTCGTCGTCATGGAATACGTGAGTGGCAACAGGGAAAAGGAGAGGCCGGGAAGCAGATGGATGAACTTTTTCCACCGAGGTCAAAGTGGCCACTTCCGTGATTTCGTTGAACATTTTTCCGCCGCGTTTCGTAGCGTCCGCTGCCTCAC